TAGTTATGTGGGATGAATTTGGAACTAAAAGCTGAACTGCAGTTTCTGCTAGAATGGTTTTTAGGCCCTAGAGCTCTCTGCTAGCATATTGTGAAGCGATTTTTTTGCCATCCTTACAGTTACTTACTCTGCCTTTGGGCCTGTTGAATTCAGTGAAACTGCTCTGGAGGTAAGGTATTCCAGGGCTACGAGCTGACGACTCCTAGAAATGTTCAGTGGCTGGTTAAAAAATACTGCTGTCTAGAGGCTTAAGTAAAAACATCAGAGCCTGCAGGTTATGGGTTTCTTTCATCTCTGCTAAGACTGAGGTAGGCTATCTGACTCTGGGGCAGGTCTCTTGATCACCTTGTGTTTCAGTCAGCCTACGTGGAAAATTGAATGAAATCTGGGAGCTGCTCTGAAAAACCAGAACTATTTGGCAGTTGTGCATAAAGGTAAAAGAACCCTCTTCTTTGGGAAAGCAGAGGAGTTTTTCTTTATTCATAATGGTCTTCACAGGGTTTTCCAATCTAATGGCTAAACCAGTGATGTATCCCATAAAGGATGGCTTCTGTTTGGAAAATCACAGTTGTCTAGATTCATTCGCACAGCAATTAGAGTTTATTTTCCACTTTGGGCCATTATCTTCCTACTTTATTGCTTTGTGCTTATAAAAGCTGCTGGTGCAAGTGCTGGTTTCATGCATTAGGGTGGTGCATCTCTGATAGACTCTGCAATAAGGGCTTTGTGGACATTGGAAATAACATTTCTGCAACTGGAACTTGGTTTGGTTCACTCAGTTTGAGTAAATTTAATCCAGCTCAAGCTTCTAGAGCTGTTGGTTCTGCAGTGTTTTCAGGAGTAAAGTAATGAGTAAAGGCTTTTTTTTTTGTTAGAATAAGCACTTACAAGTTGAAATTAAAGCAAAGAACAGACCTTTTAATGATTTACAACTATATGTGTTTCAATTCCCATTTATTGCACTTGTGTGACATATTTGTGCTTTGTTTTTGTTTTTTTCAGTCATGCACATGTTAGTTACCAGCTGGTTTTTTTACCTTCTAGTTCTTAGAAGAAAACGTGACAACTTTTTGAATTATGCAGAAAAAAGCCCTGATAAGTTTCTTAAAGAACATATCGACTAACCCCTTCCAATTTGAAGGCTTAATTTAGAATCTTCTTGTATAAATATTTTCTAACTAGGATTATTAAAGACACTTTTTAAAGACAGCAGTGTTTTTTAATATATTTGAGAGGAAACGTGCGGCGTTTAAGGGGATTTTATCACCACATCAATATTTGGGGGAGGTGGCTTCTTTTATTTATTTATTTTTTAGGATAACTGTCTGCAATGCATATTTGTTTTAGGTTATTTTTTGCCAAATCCTCCTTTTAAAGGTCTCTGTTCTTTATTGCTTCTAGCCACTGATGATATTGTAAAAGTTGAAGTCTGGGATGTGGTTGACAAAGGTAAGATCTGTTTCTCCTTTTTCTGAATTTGAAATCAAAAGGATTTGTGAAGAATTCAGGAATTACTACTTGTTTTTGCTTTCTTTAACAGAATGTACATGTAAGTTTTCGATGGTTCCATAGATACTATTTTCTGACATCACTTAGTAGGATTGGGAATCATTTTATTATCAAAGCCATTTTAACTTCAGCCTGAACAAAGAAAGCAGAAAAAGTTGTAAAAAGCTTAAGTTTTTCACTGTTATGTGCAAGGTGATTTCATACCTTCAGTGATGGCCCAAATGATGTGGTTCATAGTGTGTTCATTTCCTTTGCTCCTTCCACCAAAAACCTTTTCTTTTTCTTTTTTTTTCTTTAGGTTGTTGCTCAATTCATTCTGTTTATAATGGTTGCTATTGAGCTGTCTTTATAAAGGAATAATCTTATTAAATTGAGAAACTTTCACTGGACTAAATAGTGTGTGTGGAGCTGTGGGGGGAGGGGGGACACCATGACAATCCACTTAAATGATTGCCTTTTCTGTGTGCTAAATGAAAATGTTATTTTAAACACCTTCTTGGACAGGAAGATACACTGCAGATAGTCTTGGATGGTCTTACAAGATCTGGGTGTCATTGGAAATGTAACGGAATGTAAAGTTCTTTTTTATAACACTTGGTTTTTAGGAGGTTAAAAACTGTACCAGAAACAAAGTTGGAAGCTCTTGGTGCACATATATGGAATTCATAGGTGACCATTCATAGGTGACTCTTAACAGCACATGCTATGGTACAAAGTACAAATTTTGTACAGTAGTCATTAATACACAGTCTCTCTCCAAGATATGTATCCCTTTTAAACTGCACAATTAGAAAAGGGATTTGTAAGAATAGATCCCCTTACTCTTCAGATCCACTCCTTGGTAAAGTTATCTGCGTCACATACAACTGTAGTACTGAAAATTTAGGTTTTTATAACTTTAGTCACTTTTACCTATGGTTGAAACAACTCCATGGGCAACTCAACTAGAATCTGTTCTGGCATGTCAACATGTACTTTCAGTAGAATTGAATTATTAATTCCAGGTTTGGTATCTAAGGGTATACAAAACATGCAACTCATTTGTACTTACGTTACAGCTCCAGGTCTAACTATAGTTTAAAGAAAAAAGAAAAAAATGGTATTCTTAACTCCAGCTAATTAAACCCCAGTGGTATGATAGTAGTGAAGCCGAGGGATTTTGGGTTAGCAGCTGGAGTTCAAGCCTGTTTTAACATAAATTAAGAATGCCTTTTGCAATGCAGGATAATCATAAAATCATAGAAAATTAGGGTTGGAAGGGTACCTCAGGAGGTCACATCTAGTCCAACCACCTGCTCAAAGTAGGACCATCCCCAACTATATCACCAGAGCCAAACCTTTTTTAGTCAGGACTTAAAAACCTCCAAGAACGGAGATTCCATAGCCTCTCCAAGCATCTGTTCCAGTGCTTCACTACCTCCTTGTGAGAGAGTTTTTCTTAATGTCTGGCCTAAACTTCCCTTCCTGCAACTTAAGTTGAAGCCTATTTTCACATAAATTAAGAACACCTTTTGCAACACAAGATATTTGCAGAAAATTAGGGTTGGATAACCTCAGTCAAACACTGGCTCAGTGGCCAGCGAGTCTTAATTGATGGGGTGGCCTCATCCTGGAAGGCCGTCTGCAGTGGTGTACCCCAGGGATCAGTGTTTGGGCCCTTGCTTTTAATATCTTTATTAATGACTTGGACGAGGGAGTGAAAAGCGCAATGATTAAGTTTGCAAACAATACCAAACTGTGGAGACAAGAGGGCACATCAGAGGACAGGTCAAGGATTCAGGAAGACCTTGACAGGCTGGTCCTATGGGCTGAACAAAACCAGATGAGGTTCAACAGGGACAAACGCCGGGTCCTTCATCTGGGTAGGAGGAACCCTCACCATATCTATATGATGGGTGGTGGTCCACTGGTTGGCACTGCATCCGAAAGGGACCTAGGGGTGATAATTGACCAGAACATGAATATGAGCCACCGGTGTGGCAAAGTTGCCAACAGAGCAAATAGAATTCTGGCATGCACCAGCAGGTATGTTACCAACAGATCCAGAGAGGTGCTTCTTTCCCTCTATTAGGTGTTGGTGAGGCCACAGCTGGAGTACTGCATCCAGTTTTGAGCACCGCACTTCAAGAAGGATGTGGACAAGTTCGAAATGGCAATGTAGGGCCCCTGGCAAGATGCAAACGGTAATCTTGTGGCTACGCCAGACAAGAAAGCTGATATTTTTAACAGTTTCTTTGCCTCTGTTTTCTTGATCAGGGACTGGGATATCCCACCTACCAGAGGTAGGGACAATCTTGGGGATAGCTCTGTCAGGCCTTCAGTCAGAGCAGATGTAGCTAGGGATCTTCTGGAAGGGCTGGACATTTTTAAATCTGCAGGTCAAGATGCCCTCCACCCAAGGGTGTTCAGGGAGTTGGCAGAGGTCATCATGGAGCCCTTGGCCCGGCTGTATGAGCATTCGTGGTCATCTGGCCAGGTGCC